GACCCCCATGTACATGGGGAACAAAATCCCCAGAATGTGTACAATATCCCTATTGTGCATGGATTTGCAGACTGATTATTCAGAGTGTAGCCAAGGAAAGGTAAGGCTATGACCCATTGTTTTCCTGCGATCAATTGAATACTGTCATTTGCATTTAAAACGCTCCGAATTCGCACTGTCAATATGCCAAACAGCTGCTCGGGCTTTTCAGCATTCCATGGTGACAATCACACTATCGTACATCATTGGCACCAGGATTTGCAATACTCTCAATGTCAAAATTTTGTGGGGTTTTTTTTTTTTTTAAGAAAAAAAATTCTCCCCCCCCCCAAATACCCAAACCTGTGAAAAATCCGCTTTTAAAATGATAGCGTTCAATGCTGCTAAGCAGGCCTTCACAGATGCCAACATATCAAAATTCATCTCTTTTTTTCCTCTCCTACAATTAAAAGGTAGTTAAGAAAGAGGCTGTTCCTGATAGATCCACCTTCTGTTTTCTCCTTTGTATGCGTATTATTCATTAGCAGTCTAATAAGAGTTTCAAAATGCTCTGTGCCTCTGCCAGCAGGGCATATGTATGTAGACATGTGCTTGTGACAGATAAGTACATAAACAGCATATTGGCACCAGAAAGACATCTGTGCCTAGAAAAACGCTTGTGATATGTACATAAATGACATTTTAGCTCTAGTCAAGTCCTTGTGGCTTTGAGAGGAATATGTGACTGTACTCTTCTCTGTGAATACTGAAAAGGTGCGTCTTAGAAGGGAGAGTATTTTAGAGGTTTACGGAGAATCGGAAGAAGAGCTTGGATGCGGGAAGCCACCCCGTGCGAACAGCCGGGGTTGCAGCCCCGGCTCTGCCAGGTTGCGGCAGACGGCGGCAGAGTCTTGCCAGGGGGATCGTGGGCGGTTGCCGCCGGCAGTGCCGTGAGCACGGCCCCCTCAGGGGGAAGCACCCGGCACCCCCAAAATCTGATTCCATACGTCCGTATGGGGTCTGCCGTGCGGGGCAGCATGGGGCTGGCAAAGGCAATGCAGCTCCTGGCTATGAAGGGAATAAAATCTTGGCCCAAAGACCAAAAAGTCAGGGGGTGATCCAGGGTCAGGAGGCACGGGGAGCGCTCCCTGCAGCGATATCTGCTACCTACATTAAATTATCTGGCTGACAAATCTGAACGCAATCCCTTCACCACAACTGTCTTCTACAGCAGAAAAGGGACATCTTGGTCTGTTGCAGAAGAGGACCGAGCATTCCATCTTCTGGGATCCTTCCCAGATTACACAATGGGACACTTCGTAGGTCTACTCACACTGCTTGTTTTAGGCTCGTAATGCCTCAGTTTACCCATTCATGGTGACAGTTGCCTGTCTTATAGCTTTAATTAGTGCTGGAAATGTTGTTGTGGCCAGGAGGCTGTAGGTGAGAGGTCTGTGGGAGTCTCAGGAAAACCTAGAGTATATTTGCGTCTGGTCTGAAGTAGGAGAGAGAGAAGATGCAAAACTGGAGGCACTTTAGTATTCGCCACACACGCACAGCAGTAAATATGGACTCAGCTCCCTGATTTTGGGGTTTGGAGTCAGAGTCCTAGATATATTTGAGCCCTGAGATCCCACGGAAGCACTTATGTTCCAGTGAAATCAGCCCCCCGTGGGGAACTTAAGCTTAAGGGCTGAGTTCAACCGTGTCTTCCCTGAGCTTGCTCCAGGAGGTATGGGTGCCCCAGCACTCTCCATTCCTGGCTTGCTGCAATTACAAGTTTCCTGTAGATTTCATTTGATCCAGTAAAGTTAATCCTAAAAGGAAATGAGTGTCCAAAGCTGCCATTGCCTCCGGGTCCATTAGGACTCACCTGGGCTGGATCATGAAATGGCAGCTGCACCGTCGTGAAAGATCTCTGGGATGTGGCCGTAATACGCACATCGGGGTGGTCATTGCTGTTCATCAGCTTTCCCGTGGTGAAAATGGCATTGCTTCTTTGGATCTGACATAAGGAGGAAAGAAGCAGCAAAATATTCCTTGGTGTGAATCAGGATGGGTCCTGGACTTCGCTGTCAGTTGACGTGACCTCAGCATGCGACTCCTCAGGTGGGTGGGGGTCTCACACCTCCAACGTGGTGGATGGAACCACAGTGACGGATGAGCTGTTACTTGCCTGAAAGAAAATTGTTCGGGGGGGAAATTGTCTCCAGTCATTCTCATTTTGCATGTGATTTTTCCTACATATGTTTCTAATCATTAAGAAATTCTGTAGCTTAAATAATGCTCTGAAAGTACGGTAACTGTTGGACTACATTCTGTTGTAACCTTATTGAATTTCACTTCTCTGGAAAAAATAATGGGATACTATATCTTGAAAAACAAATGGTAATTGCATTTTTAACAGAATGTTTCTCTTTGTGTTTCAAAACCTTCTGCACACAGTTAGACATCTAGCCAGGGAAGAAGGTACAAAGCATATGGGCCAATTTCTGTCTGTTGGCTGTTCAAGATGCCTTAATATTCAAGCAGTGATGTATGTGTGTCCATGCAATATGGCACAATTTATCGACACGGTATTCATGAGCTCAGGTGAGATGGTCAAAAGGTTGTGTACTGGGGTCAGAAGAGGTATTCAAGGAGGAAGTGGGGAAGGTGGGTTTACATCCCACTCCCTATTAGATGTGTGAGTGTAAATCTTCATATTAATTCACATTTTGGCTATTTGGACCACAGAAGACCGATGTTCCTGTGTTTGTGATGCTGGCCAGAGGCACGGGTTCATCTTCCAGGTGACCAGGATCTTACAGCTAAGGGTCTTGACGAGATTGCAAAAATAGGAATTGTCCAACATCTTTGTACTGCTCGTGTGCCACAGGGATAGGACTTCCTCAGTGCTTTAGAGATTTGCACATCACCACGTGCCGAGAACTGGTTTGATTAAAGCCTGGGACCCAAAATAGCATCGTCGCAACGCAGTTGGGTAATATGCTGGTGTTATTGTCTACCAAGGTTAGGAGAGCCCTGGTAATACTGGAATGCTCTTCCTTAATTTTTAGTAAATCTGGTGTGTTAAGAACTTTGTGAAGAGATGCATTTGGACATGTGAAGCTTCAAGGCAAAGTAATAGGCTTGAGGTTTCTGACTGACAAGACACATGTGAGTACATGCAAAATGTGCTCCTCCTGCTAAAAATAACATTTCTCCTGTCAACCACGATGCATCCACCCCCACAACACCACCCAGAAGAACACATTAACACCTTGGCTTTGCACGTAGCCCGATTCACAGCAGCCACAAGTGGTAGAGGGATCTGCACTCTGTGTGCATGCTGACAAATCATATGGCATAGCGAAGAACAGAGGAGTGAAACTGGGCTAGCAGAAGTTGACGCCTTATCATCACAGTCCCTTTGAGCACGCTGTAGGCTGACACCTCCACCAACCGAGTCATCTCCCCGATGCCAGGATGAAGAGCACGAGCCCACTATCCTGATTTAGCCTCTGGTAAGCAAGGGGAGGCTTGCCACACCAGGCAGGGTGGAATAGGTGCGTTGATGTGAATGGGTACAGGAGCATCACAGGTCCCCCGGCACGGGCACAAGCAAAGCACATCCAACCACTGCTGCTCACAGCTGTGCTACAGGGAAATGTAAAATATACTTCATAGACCAGTGAGATGTGAAATGTTTCTCTGATTACTGCTCCCTATGTGGGGCCTAATACCATCCAGAAACATGTAAATAATATTTCAAATCAGGAAGTGTTCTGTTGCAGATAGGCATTACCCTTAAAAAGGACTCCTGCAATAACTAAGGTGCAGGTCTGTCATACAGCCTGGGTGTGCTTCTGCTGGCACTGCAGTCACCAAGGTGACGGAAGACATGGATAGCAAAGCTTTTAAAAGTGGTGAAAGACTAGAGATTATCAAAGTTTTTTCCCAATTATTATTTCCTATGAAAATTTGCATTTTTTTCCTGAAAAATTAAAGCTTTCTGAAAAAATGTTGAAGGCAATAAAATTTACCATTCTTCTGAACTTCTCACCATAACTTCTAGGCAAATAATTTGAAAAACTTTATTGACAGTTTTGCTTTGGTATAATTTTAGATTATTTGCAAAGTATATCTCTTAAAAAAAAAAAAAAAAAAAAAGAGTTGGAAACAAGTCATAGTTAAACATTGTCAGGCGATGCAAGGTTAATTCACGGTCACTGTTGGTCCACTGCAGTCTCTCCCCAGGACAGCGTGAAGCTTTAATCAAAGGAGATTTTCCGAAAACCCAGGAGATTTAAATGCGTAAGTTCCAATCTCTCCTTTAGCTGGCAAGCTCATGAGCTCTCAGAACTAAGCTCCCTTAACTCTCATTGAAGTGGCTGGGCAGAGCCCTGGGCTCTCGCAGTGCTTCCGTTGTCTGAACTTCACCTGACGACTCTGGCAAAGCCAGGCAGGCTTTGGTGGGTGCTGAAGGCATCCAGCCCTTTGCAGACGGCGCTTAGCACTTAACAGGATCAGCCCCTTAGCAACTTGTATGATGTCCATCACCTCAGATGCCATACTGTTTTTTAAATTATGCAATGCCCACCATATGTAGTTAGCCAAGTAAGCTGCTTTCACCTAACCTCAAACCTTTGTAATGCTTATAATCCCAGCTAGGTGTCTGTATAAAGGAGCTCCTTGTTAAGGGCAGAAGGGAGGAATATTCTTCCATAAGAAAATTAGGGAGTTGACAGAGATATAAAGCTAAAGGTTTGCAAGATTGCTTTTGTTTGGCCAAATGTTTTGAGGTTTTGGGTTTGGTTTTGGAGATCTCTAGTGTTTAAACTTAGTTATTCAGCAGGTGGCCTGGCAGTAGCTGTACGTGAGAAAGCAGCTCACCCATGGCAAGCCCTGTCTCCAGTAAGTTATCAGCATCTTAGTTTGTTACGTTTTCTTTCCAGTCCTTTCTTGCTCCTGTTTTAGCAAATGTAACACTAGCATCAAGTTCCTTCCTGGGATGAAAATCCATGAGTTCATCAGCGAAGATGGAGCTTCCATTTTGGCCTGATTTGGTTTCTCTCTTGGAAAAGCTGAATGGGCGAATGCTCTTGGTGGTTCTGGTCACGTTTCTTCTGATCATTGACCTTGTGAAAAAGAGACGACCCAGGAATTTCCCTCCAGGGCCACATCTCTTTCCTCTTGTGGGAACCTTTGTGGACTTTAAGCAGCCCCTCCATCTTGCACTGCAGAAGGTAAGAGCTCCGTGGAGATTTCTCTTACTAACAATATTTTACTTCTTTAGTGACTTTTGTCACCAAACCTGTGAAGCAATGGCAGCCTCTGAAGAATTAGCTATATAATAACCACATATGATAGATGACCCTTCTTGGTTTGCTCTCTTACTAACGCCGCCTCTTCCAAGGGAGCAGGAAGGTTCAATAGGAAAGAAACCTATAATGGAGGAAGACCTACATGTTCCTCCTCTTTCTTCCCTTCTGACCATGACCATTTTCTGTTGGTGCACAGGAAGGGTTCGCAGGAGCTGGGCCAGGCTGCGGGACGGATGGCAATTGCTGTATGAGAAATGTACTGTCTGGACTGTGACTACCATCTCTGCAAATTGTCTTGTCATTGTCTTTGCTCAGAGGCCAAAAATTTGCCCCATTACATCTGAAAGAATCATTTAAGACCCTGAGTTAACTGCCCCTTTGGCTTCTTCTGTGTCACAGAAAGAGGCAGTGATTGCTCTGGAAAGGTTTCCAGAGCTTTGATTCCCACCAAAGAGAGAGAGAGATTTTGTACATGCCGAGTATGCTTCTCTGAAAAAGTGGAAGGAAAAGTTCTGACCTGCTGGTTGCAAATATCCTTTCTGGTGACTGTTTATCGCTTGCTTTTACTTAGCAGGCTGACACCAGTCTATCTACCCTGGGTTTTCACAGGCGTTCCCTAGGGGAACCCTTGGGGAAGGCTGAGGCGGCACGCTCAGGATATTTTGTCAATACACACAATTATTATTAATAAAATTAATCACATTCATTTACACACACAATGACTGAGACACCCGTTTGGCCCCAGACTAGTTTCAAGAGTCACCACAGTGGTTCAGGGTGACCATGTGTGTCCTTTCATGTAGACTTACACTAAGTGGATGGCCTGAGTTCCTTGGCAGAGTGGGGTCTGAGAGACGATATGATTGCCCTTTGCTCTTGTACTTCAGAGGCTTGAATGCTGCACAGGAGACACTAATGCTAGCAAAGTCCATGCAAAGAAAATAGCCATAATTTGACCATAAATACATTCAGGCTTAAAATTAGCCAGCAGCAGTTGGAGCCGCTTTCTAAATGGGATAGCCGGAGCAAGAAACCCCACTACTTTAGACACAAAGTTGATGAAAGGGATTATTTGTTGTGCTTTGCTCTCAGCAGCAAGAGCCTGGCTGTGGTGACCCAGGTGCTGCCTTCACCTCTTGTAGCCTTCCTGTGAAGAGGAGGGATGGAGCAGATGCCCATCAGTTACGAAGCAAGTAATGTCCTTGTTACTAGTTAAATTGATGCAACCTGCTGGTGAAACACAAGTCAGACCTGCTAACAAATATAAGCAAAGCATTTCGCCCACACTACAGCTCTCTAGCATTTTTTATGCTGTCTCCAGCTTTCATGGAGTAGTTTAGATTGGATGGAACCTGCAGACTTGTGTTTGGGTTTTTCTCAAGTCCTCTTGCTCCAAGCGGGACTAAGTTCAAAGTTAGATGCCATTGCTTGAGGTCTTGTCCAGGTGAGTTTTGAAAATCTCCTCTTTCTTGCTCTCAGAGGGCGATGAACTCTCTTTCAGCTTACCGGTCAGTACGGGAACATCTTCAGTGTGCAGTTTGGAAGTCTGACTTTTGTGGTAGTCAACGGGTACCAGATGGTGAGAGAAGCTCTTGTCCACCAGGCTGAAATATTTACAGATCGGCCAAATATTCCACTCCTCCAAGAAATATTTAGAGGCTTTGGTAAGCACAGCTACCAGGATTTTGGTACAAATTTTTCATCTATTTGCAATGATAACAATTAGAGTGAAAGAAACAAGTTGAATTCAAACCTTGATAACTGCACACTTAAAAGCTTCCACAGAGGAAGGCAAGAATTCAGTCTAATAATCTCACAGGTGTACATTTTAATCTCTCTGGGATTTAGGGATGATGATGGGATCAAACTCAGATCTTGATGAAAGAGGACAGATAAATGTAAGCTGCCCAGCGATCGATACACTTCAAGAGTTTTCCCCTTGGTTTTAATTTCTCCTTTACTTTTCCTCCCTTGGTTGCATATAGCTTCAGAGACGGGGTACGGTGCTCCTGCCTGCAGCTCTGCCAACAGTGTGATAGTACTTATAGTATTTTGGCTTACACCTTTTTTTCCCACGCAAAGTGACAAAGTAGCAGATTAAAGCAAATCCATAAAGCTAGATCTTTAGCATAAGCCAATTACTCTTGAATTTTAATTCCCAGGCAAAGCTATAGTTTTTCCATGTCTATGGGGTTTGTTTGCTTTGATTTGGTTTTTTTTTTTGTTCAAGATGAATGGTCATTTCTGAATCCTGTCACTTATATGTGACCCAGAGAGAGGTTTGTTCGCTTGTTTTTTCTACCTACAGGGCTCATATCATCAAATGGGCATATATGGAGGCAGCAGAGAAAGTTTGCTTCAGCCACACTGAAAAGCATTGCTGTAAGTTTTGAGGAAAAAGTGCAAGATGAGAGCCGGTACCTTGTGGAAACGATTGAGGAGGAGAAAGGTGGGTGGTTAAGGCACAGCATGGTGCCCAAAGCTTCCAGCTAAATGAACAACGAGAAGTAAAACTCTTACTCTGACGTAGCTCCTAACACGCAAAATATTTCTTCAGTAGCTCAAATCTCTATCTTACACTTCCAGACTGCGCCTTTTAGCACTTACTTTAGACCTCAGGCCTACTATTTTAGTTCTTCCTTTTTAATATTAAGCAAATATATACTAGTTGTTTATTAAAACTTGGCATGTTCATATGGCTAAGAAAGTCTCTCCTGTACTCTGTGAAGGAATAAATGGAGCTCTCCTGCTATCAGGCATGTACGCTCAGAGGCTTCGTTAACCTCTGCTTGTCCTTGGTTTTGCAAAGTATTTTAAAACTTGTTTAGTCAGGCTTTCCTTTTGTATCATGCACAGATGAAGCATGTGCCTTGCTCTTTTATGGTCCAGCTTTTATGAACTGCCAGAGGGACATTGTAAGAATAATTTGTATGTTGGTACATGGGTGATGTTGCACTTCAGCTTTAAATAGAAGCAGATGGAGTTTAGCTAATTCTATGGAGCTATATATAGTAAACAAGAAAGATCTAAATAGGAATTGTGAAATTATATACTAAACTTGCACCATTTTAATTGCTGTTGCACTGAACAGGCCAAATACTTTATGTTGCCAATTGATTATACTCCTTTATAGTCCTAATCAATAAACTAATTAAGCTGCTGGTTTGGGCCTTTCTTCCCATTAGGAATGACAAATAGTGATCATGTCCATCACTCTAATATCTGAGCACCAGCCCAGTTTAATTACTTGAAGAGTGGAGAGATCAGCAGTCCTGTGCAGAGTGCCTTGCATTTCAAAGTGATGCTCCCCAGCGTATTGACAGCAACTCAGGGCTGGGCTGGATTCATTACTGATATTAGTCTCTCATATCATGGCAAGTCGCTCTCCGGGATGCCTAAATGAGCCCTAGGAGATGATGGTCTCTGCTTGATAGCTCTTACAAGGAATGCAGATGTGACAACCATCACACCACACTTGCTCTCAAAGGAGCTGATGTGCATCACATTTATGGGGCATGAGTTATTGCTGAATTTTACAGGTGGGCACAGAGACTTGCAATCCTCTCCCTCTCTCCTCCATCTCACTTGATTTCTTTGTGGTCGACAGTTAAAGGCCAGTGCAATGGCATTTTTGCAGTGTGGTTAGTTCTGAGCTCCCTGCCCTGGGCTAAGCTTTGAGGGACCCTCTCCTGGTGTTTAAAATGGGCACCAAAACCGTGTTGGAGCATGCAAACCCGACAGCCATAGCGTGGCATATCTCTGGTTATTTTCCCTGGAAAACGGTTCAAACCCTGCTTTGGCAGCTCTCTGCTAACATTTGTGCATGCCAGCAGCCTGGGCTGGAGACAGGAGGGGACGTCCTCGGAGAAAGGACTTCATGGCCCACAATGCCCAATGCCCAGCACCCCACTGGAGGCAATGCGGGTGGTGGGGACCCCAGGACACAGGGTGAAGCCTTAGCATCCTCATGGGTGAAAAGTAGATGAGGTCTCACCCCAACTTCACAACTGTTGATCTGGTAGAGAATGTGGTTTTGACTGAGACTTTAAAGAAAAAAGAAAGCTGTCTTTCATTTTATTTCCTCCAGGACAGCCATTTGACCCTCATTACAAAATTAATAGTGCTGTTTCGAATATCATCTGTTCCATAACTTTTGGGAACCGCTTTGACTACCATGACAACCGTTTCCAGGAATTACTGCACTCACTGGCTGAAACACTGCTGCTCATCGGAAGTTTCTGGGGCCAGGTAAAGCCAGTTGGATGCTTTTCTAGCTTCGGCTGCATGTAAGTGCCTAGAAACCGGAGTTTCTAAGGCACTCACGTAATCTGCTTTTCCCTGTAGAAAAAGTCATGATATAAGGGAAATGACCACAAGTATTGTTTTACATTAGACTGGGTTTATACATAATATCCATCAGGAAAGTAAGGAAGCAAGTTAAAATTATCGAGGCACATGGAGAAGAAACCCTACAGGATTGTAAAACCAATGCTATGCCTGACATAACCAAAGAACAAGGGAAAAACCTTAAAAACATCTATGTTTCTACAAAAAGAAGAGCCAATTAGTAGCACTCTGTGAAAATTCCCTTCTTTTCCCCCACCTCGTTCCTGACTAGTTTCCCAAATAACTTATATTTATGACGAAACTGTCTGAGAGTCCAGGTTTATAACCAAAATAGGTCGATTTGGGGACATAGCTTCTGCATGGCTGCACACCATGGTCTGATCTCTGTCCCCTCCACAGACCCCAGCACTAGGGGACTCCACTGCAGCCACACCAATTTCTGACTCCAGTGGCCACCTCACATTAGGTGACAGCTTTGGCAACCCAATATTAGAGAAATTTATCAGCAAAAAAAACCATCTGGCCAATTCTTATCTTGTTTGTACTTATTTACATCTGTGTAACTAAATTGACCTTTGTAGCCAAACTGATATATTTTCCTCGTAGCAAGTGGAGCTAATAAATTGTACTATCTTCACAACTATGATACCTGCTCTTTTTGAACTCAAGAAACGCTCTTTTGCTCTCTTTGATTTCTCATCAGCTGTATAATGCTTTTCCTTCGGTCATGAGATGGCTGCCAGGACCCTTTAGGAAAATCTTCAGGCACTGGGAGAAGCTCCGATATTTTGTGAAAGGAGTGATTGCAAAGCACAAGGAGGATTTCGACCAGTCCGAGGCAGGAGATTATATTGACTATTACCTGAAGGAAATAGAAAAGGTAAGAGGGAAATACCTAAAGTGACCTCAAGCTTAACACATAAAATGAGCAGACAAGACTCAAGGCTGTTTTGTCAGAGGAGCTCACACCTCCCGCATTGCCTTCTCCTCCCTACCTCTTCCACAACAAAATTTTTAGCAACAGCAGGAGCCTGATCACTTTGAGAACACACAGATTTAATTTTTTTTTCATTTGAAAGTATTTACACTTTGTCTTCTTCCATTTTTCATTCTGTCACATGGCGTAGGAGGACTCCCAGGGAACATGTTCACATTTCTATGAGAGCTCGCAGGCCTGTGTTTGCTATTGCAAAACTTCATATTTAAAAATGCTACCTGCTTTCAAGAGTCACTCTACAGCAAACAGGATGTCTTTCAAAGCAGCCCACAGGGTTTGAAATTCAGTGAAAATAAGGGGTAGAAATTTCCAAGTCATGGGGTTGTGGGTAATAAACTAGCAGCAGGACTTGAGTCACGTGTAGGTGGTTTTCTATTGTGTCTTTGAAAGCATCCTCTCTTTAGTAAAAGTTTTCTTTGCCATTTTTTCCCCCAAGTTTAAGGATGACTCCAGCTCATATTTCCATGAGGAAAACCTGCTGTGCTCCACCCTGGACCTCTTCTTAACTGGGACTGAGACAACGGCAACCGCCATCCGCTGGGCTCTGCTCTACATGGCCGCGTACCCCCACATTCAGGGTAGGGCCACTGATGGGTCCTTCATTTAGCCCAAAACCAGACAAATGAAAATCAGAAAACAGAATTATTTCCAGCTCTACCACATGTCGAGCCCAAGTTTCTTATTGGGAACCTTTGGAATATAGATTTTATTCTTTTTTTTTTTGCTTTCCGTAGAGGAAGTGCAGCTTGAAATCGACACGGTGATTGGCCAGTCCCGCCAGCCCACGATGGCTGACAAGGAGAACATGCCATACACTAGTGCGGTGCTGAGTGAGGTCCTGCGGATGGGCAACGTTGTGCCACTGGGGGTGCCCAGGATGTCCACCAGCGACACCACTCTGTCTGGCTTCCACTTGCCCAAAGTATGTGGAGACCACCAGCCTTTCCCTCATCCCACAAGAGTGGAGTCTTCATGGCCCAAGTCCCAAATCTCACCAAGAGGGAAAGCAACCAGCAGAATCTTATGGAGATATCACAGTTATATAGAAAGTACAAGCCCTCCTGACAGATGCTGTAGGACTGTTATGGGTCACATCCTTAAGGAGGAGAATTATGAGATCCTATGGTGTTGGTCATAATTTTCAATTTTAGAAGGGTTTATCTCTTAAATTTTATAAAAGATGCCCTCCATGCATCTAGGAATAAAAGGCCAAGAAAAATAGGAAAGCAAAGAGTTTGGGTTCGTTAATTCCACAGAGTATTAAAAGTCATCTATTAAAAGCAGCACTGGACAAAAGCCAGGTAGTAGGTATTGATGCATACATACTGTTCTGCAAATATGAGGTTTAGATATAACTAGTCTGTCCCATGTATATGACTGGTTGTATCAAGGAAAATTCAAAATAAAAAATGTGGTCATTTTGCTCCACACTGATTAGAACATTTCTTTTTCTGATGGAGGATGTGGAGATAAACCAGATCAGGATTTTTTTAAAAAAGCGCAATAAAGTGAATCAATTGAAAATTATTTGATTACATTTCTTCAAATTCCTATGGGAACACAATGTTATCAATGTAAAGCTGGTTTATATTAACATCACCAGTGACAGCAGCACAAGGTGCAGATCAACACTATGGTGATATATAGAGGCACATAGAAGTGAACAATCCTGTAGGCTTTCACCCTCATTTAATTACATAGCTTAGGAAAAAACATTTTGCCCTTAAAAAATGTAGTTTACATTGTGTGTGGAAGAGAGCTAATAATAAACTAGACTGACAACACATCAGTTCTTCTCCGTCGCGTAATCGCCCGTTTTCTCCACCTCTTGCAGGGCACCACCCTGATGACCAGCCTGACTTCGATAATGTTCGACAAAAATGTGTGGGAGACTCCAGACACCTTTAATCCTGAACATTTCCTGGAAAATGGCCAGTACAGGAGGCGGGAGGCTTTTCTGCCCTTCTCTGCAGGTAGGATGATGGATGAGGAGGTGGTTTTCCCTTTTGCAATGCTTTTTTTTTTACCCCATGACACCCCCTCCAGAGTAGGGGCTACTACTCCTTGTCCAGCTTTTAGCCCATCCCCACAGCGAAAAATCCCAATAACAGTTACTACTGACTGCTCAGAGCAGGAGGGAAATCAATTTGTTATTGCAGGATGAAAAAATAAGGCTTTTTCCTCTTGTGCAAGCTGCGTAAATTTTTGTTGCTGTTGAGTTTCCCCGCTTCGTCTATCCCAACAGCCGTTGCAGTTTGCTCAGCAGTAAACTTCTGGGGAAGGTTTCTGCAAAATGTGTGGGTGAACATTGCCACCTAACCTTTCGAGGAAGAAAAGCTCCCGCAGCCTGTGCAAGGCGGCGTGTGTGAGAGGAGCCTGAGAGGTGGTTGAAGCTCAGTCAGGACTCAGTGGGATTATTTTTGCTCCTTTTCCAGGCAAGCGGGCTTGTCCTGGAGAGCAGCTTGCCAGGACCGAGCTCTTCATCTTCTTCACAGCCCTCCTCCAGAAGTTCACCTTCCAGGCGCCGGCGGCTACTGCCCTGACCTTCGCCTTCACACTCAGCCTCACACGCTGCCCCAAGCCCTTCCAGATCTGCGCGATGCCTCGTGACTGAGGCCAGCGTGGGGCTGCCCCGTGCCCTCTCGCTTCAGCCCTCCGCAAGCTGGAAAGTGTCCCTTCTCCCATCCGCCTCACAGATTTTGGGCTGAAATGGTGGGCCACGCACGTCTAGCATCCACTAACATGCAGGTGGCAGTGGGAAGGGCAGGAGGGCCACATCCTGCATGCTGCAATGAGGACAACCCTTGCAGATCTTCCCTTCACCTCCTACCTCCTCCCCTTTATCAGTTTGACCAAAATGCATTCATTTAAAAGCCTTCTTACTTAATTTCCGCCATTACCAACTCTCAGGAAGGTGTCTACCATTTGCAAAACCATGGGCACAGCTGGGTTCACGTTGGCTCTTCTATAGGAGATATGTCCACCACCTAGAGCCCATGCAGCAACCCCTAAAGCCCAGTGCTGCAGCACCCTGAAAGGCCATGGGCTGCATTTTCTGAGGTGTCCCTGGTCAATGGGGACAGCTCACCTTGGACATACAAGCTCTGGGTTCATGCCTCAGCACCAATTTGAACTTCCAGGTGCCCACAGCCAATCCTGAGCCTTAGGTGCACTTCGGCTCAGAGTGGTGTCCGCTCCCTGCACCACCACGTTGCTGCTTTTTGATGGAAATATCTAAGCAGAGGTCTTTGCAGCAGCATGCATTTTTTTTTTATCTTATAAGTGTATGAAAATTTTAATTAGGAGGCTACAGGCTGGTAGAAGCAGCTTCCACCAAAGGCCAACCCAAGCAGGATGGCACAAGGAACTGCGATTCCAGCAGGTCTCAAATGTCTATAAAAATACAGTATTGCAATTGTATGAGCAGGAAAGGTTTATCCAAAAAAGATTTGTGCTAGTAATATACAAAATGGAAAAGAAAAGTTGCAAAAAAATAATTGCATAGGGCTGGTCAGGAGGAGTTTAACTGAGGCCCAACAAAAGGAGAAGCAGCAGAGAGTGTTGGAAGGATCACGGCTGCGGTGGCTCACCGCTGGCCGTCAAGAAGGAAATGTCGGCGCAGAGGCTTTGCGGTGGGAAGTCACGAGCTTGATGCTTCCCCTCTGCTTCTGGTAAAGGTTTGTGGCCATGCACGATGGGCATGTCCACAGCGCGGGGCCGAGGAGGTGGGTCAGGGGCATGGCACCCTCTCTGATGATGACACTGCTTCTGCCTGTACCGGGGTCTCTTTGGAAAAGAGTTAATTCAATATACAAATTGTAAAGAATTTTTAAATTTATGTGACCAAGCATTAATGCTCGGAAATGCTGTCTCCTGTGTGCTTTTGTTTGGAATACAGTCACAGCAAAGATTGGGGTTTTTTCCTCTTTTTCTTTCTTCTCGCCTTTCATAAGTGGCTTTTCTGTGGGCACCCACATAGGATACTGAATAGTTAACAGGAAAAGAGGATTAAATCAAGTTTCATTTCCCCTGCCTTTAGCCTCCATCTCTGGCAATAACTGCCTTTGCCGCCTTACAAAGCAATCCCTGTGCAGTGGCAGATTTATGCCGCATGGGAGAGTCCTCCGCACATCACATCCCTGCCACGCCGGGCACACGGGGATTTCGTCAACGAGCTGTCCTTCTAACTGATCACTTTAATCCTATTGCATTTTTAATTAATATTTCACAGATACAGGCTCCTGTGTTTCTCTTTTTTTCTTTCTAGAAGAGAAAACGTAAAAGATCTGTGGACTCTTTTTCACTTATGAAATCTTCAAAGCCATTTAGGACTAGGCACTGATTCCTCTCCACTTTTTTATTTGCTCTGGTGTAGATCTGACCTCTGGTATGTGGATACAGCTTGACTTATTTCCACTGGCTTAGCAAACAAATGTTGATCTCTTGTTGCCTCCATTGAAACTTGCTTTTCCCTGTTACTTAAGGGTTTCCTTTCCTACTCATGGAGAGAATAAATGATTGAAGTTGTCTTCTTTTTCCAAGAATTAAGTCGTCTCCTGAAGGAATTAAAAGCATCTTTTATCATGCAAGCATTAATGCCTAGGTGAGTTTTAAATCCTTTTATTTTAACCTGCACCTCTCTTCCAAGGACACCCTTCGCCTAAACACACAAACCATCTGCCGCAGTGCTTGGCTCTTAAGAACCTACCAGAAAAGCCATAAGCAAACAGGGTCAGAGATGCAGGCTCCACACAGGCAGCCTCTTTTTTTTTAAAAAAGAAACCCTCATTTTTAAATGTAATGATCCCATGCCATAAAAGTAGGAGGCATGAATTTGTTTATTTTTTGAGTGGTACAGCTCATGTGAGTGAAGGGGAACACTTGCATCTCCACAGGCTAATGCCTAAGTGTGCTTAAAATACAGAGGTAAAAAGAGCAATTCTACTCAAAAACAGTTTTTTCCATCTCCACAATAAAACAGTAATTTAACTTCAATTTTCTTAAGTGTAAAGGTCAGGCAGTGCTTTGCTCTCACGCATATGGCATTGCGCCAGCAGTGCTGCAGCATGCTCCTTCTGCGCTCAGGAAGGCAAGAGAAGGAGCAACGCTTTAGAGATGGCATTGTTCTGGCTGCGGCTGTGTCCTGTGGAACAGCAGTACCAGCCCTTGGTTTATAACATTAATACAGGCAGTATCGCCCCTTTCAGTTCCACAATAAAACAGCCATTTCACTTTTCAATTTTCTCAAGTGTAAAGGTCGGGCAGCGCCTTTGCTCTCACGCGTATGGCATTGCGCCAGCAGTGCTGCAGCATCTCTGTGCCTCGTCTTTGGCACTGGACAAACCCAACAGCCACACCTGATGTCCCCAAAAGAGAGAAAAGAAACCAAATCATCCTCTGGAGCACAAAGTGGCAGCTGACGACTGCAAACGGCCGAGGCAGATCTGTACAGTGCAACGGCAAACTGCTGCTGCAAATGTCCCCGCTTCTTTCACAATAAAGCACAACACGTACGTCAAAATTCCATGTGGTCTACGTGCACTATCAACTACCTCTCTCAGAGCCACTCGTAGAAGGGAAAAAGCAGCACAGCCTGCTACCAGCTACCACCGAAGGGCCACAGCCTGCAAAGCTGGGCATCTGCTTTGGCTGTACAGCACTGCCTTAGCTTTGTCGGGCTTTGGGCACGGCTTCAGCACGGGCTACGGCCTGAAAGGCCAAAGCAGGTGGGAAAGGATGGCTGGGGGCTCGGGGCAGGGACAACCTCATGGCTGGAGCAGGTTGCTCTGCTTGCACTTGTCTGGCGGAGATCAGAAAATAACAGCAGCTAGAAACCGCTGCGGACCCTGGACGGCTGTTTCCTTCCGGCCCACGTCACCCTGACACGCTGAAACCTCAACCCAGGAGTCAGGTGGTTTGTGAAAGGCTTGCGCAATCTTCTCTCGGATGTCCCCGCTGAGCTAGGGCTTGGTTTAGGATTCTTCGTACCAGCAAACGAGCCTCTGCAAACAAGGAAATCGCGAGGCGCTCGGAGCAGCTGGAGCCTCCCCGGCAGCGTGAGGCCGACGCTGGGACAGAGCACGGTGAGGGCCCCACGGGGAGGAGGGAGCGGGGCCCAGTGCCGAGCCGCGGGCTGGTGGGAGGTTCCGGCAGCTCGTGAGGCTGCCAGAAAGTTTTGATCCTGGCCCTGCAAAGCTCATTTCTGTCCTTTAGACAAGGACACAGATCACCGGGGTTTTGTAAAGCAGCGGTGGGAGGTGGGAGGGGAAAGGGGGAAGAGCTGGGAGTGTTTTCATTGGTGCTTCTTTGTTTTTTAACGAGATCCGAGGAAATGCTTGAGTTTAATCAAGAAGGGGTTTAATCAAACAGCCCATGCTGAAACCTGTGAAAGCAGGAGTTGAAGGCAGTCTTCAGGTCAAGTCAGCAAAAGCAACTCCACGCTGTCCTGTGTTTGTCCCATCTTTCCCTGGCCCCGGGGGTTCGGTGGTGCCCTGTGAGCTCGACCTGCCCTGACCTGCCGCGGGACGGCCCTGCGGAGACCCACCATCCACCCATGTTGCGCTTCCTCTGGGACAGCATCTCCTTCCAGATGCTCCTCATCTTCTTCACTGTCTTCCTGCTTGTCGCTGACTACATGAAGCACAGAAATCCGAAGCACTACCCTCCCAGCCCCTTCCCCCTCCCCTTTGTAGGGCACCTCTACCTGATGAACTTCAGCAATCCCCAAATCATGGAGCAGAAGGTATGGGGGTGGTGGGCACTGCAGGGAAAGTGATGGAGGGGATTGCAGCTACACAACCATTGTGGCGTGGGGAAGGGGTTAACCCAAACCCCATGGCCCATGAGGACTCAGAGGAGCTTACCCCCAGGAGGTTTGCTCTTGGTCGGCAGCAATGTGGATGAAGTTTGCCCTGGCACGAGGAAGGGGAAGAGTGTGGAGCA